AAAATTAGCTGGGCGTGGTGGCGCATGCCTGTAATCCCAGCTACTCGGGAGGCTGAGGCAGGAGAATCGCTTGAACCTGGGAGGCGGAGGTTGCAGTGAGCCGAGATCATGCCACTGCACTCCAGCCTGGGTAACAGAGTGAGTCTCTGTCTCTCACACACACACACAAAAGTGTAATAAGATTATCTTGAAAAATAGACAAAATTGCATGAAAATCATTGCCCCAATACAATGTATATCTGTTTTTATGTTTTATTTTGCGTAAGTATAGTTACAGTACATTCACATCTTGGTATTTGTTTACTTTCAATTTAATTTACTCACATTCGCTAAACATTTATTCCATACCTTCTATGTTCTAGGCAACAGGCTCAAAGATAATATATAGCTTCTGACCTTAGGGGATTTAGGGTAGCCTATAGAGGGGTAGGGATAAGTGCTTAGGAGACGTTAACAAAATGCAACGTGGTAAGTGCTATTATGCAGAATATAATGCAACAAAGAGGAATGCCCAGTAGGGTCAGAAGCTTAAGATGAATATAAGGTGCATCAGAGAGAGCATGGTAAAGACAAAAAGCAGAAAGGAGCAAAAAATCTATAGTTAGGTCTTCCTACAATCAGATAGAAAAGAATATATGATTCAAATGACTAACAATGTTTTCAAAAGTGTTAAAAAATAACAAGCAAAGCTTTCCAGGGAAGACGTCATCTTTCTCCTGAAGAATTCTAGCATGCATATACAGCAGCTGCCCTCACTGTACGCTGGAAGACTTTTTCTTTTCTTTTCTTTTCTTTTTTTTTGAGATGGAGTCTCGCTCTGTCGCCCAGGCTGGAGTGCACTGGCCGGATCTCAGCTCACTGCAAGCTCTGCCTCCCGGGTTCACGCCATTCTCCTGCCTCAGCCTCCCGAGTAGCTGGGGTTACAGGCGCCCGCCACCACGCCCGGCTAATTTTTTGTATTTTGAGTAGAGACGGGGTTTCCCTGCATTAGCCAGGATGGTCTCGATCCCCTAACCTCGTGATCTGCCCGCCTTGGCCTCCCAAAGTGCTGGGATTGCAGACGTGAGCCACCGCACCCGGCCAAGGAAGCCTTTTTCAACTTTACCTCCCACAGCATCTCCTTCCCCCCAACTCCAGCCATATCAAATAACTTGGAGTCAAAGAAATACAAATTAAAAAATAATATAGTACCAATTCAAACTATTAAAAAAATTTTACACTGTGAAATGTAAATAGTGCCATTTTTCCTAGTGGGCATTTTAATTCTTTTTGTTGTTGTTTGCAGAGACAAGGTCTCACTATGTTGCCCAGACTGGTCTTGAACTCCTGAGCTAAAGCAATCCTCCTGCCTCAGCCTCCCAAAGTTCTGCGATGACAGGTGTGAGCCACCATGCCTGGCTCCTAGTGGGCATTTAAAATGAAAATTCTTTAAAAACATGCATACTCTTTGATCCAGCAATTCCAATTTCACTTCTAGGACTATAACTTTAGGAAATAAAACATACAGATATGTTCACAGCAACACTGGTTATAAAAGGAAGAAAAACAGGAAACAAATGTCCAATAATAGGCTAAATTATGAAAAAGGTATACAATTCAATACAAAACCCAATCACTTTAAAGAATGACATACATTATTTAATGACATATCATTAAAAACACATCAGTGGTGTGATTTGGCAATGATGTAACACATCATTAAAAACACCACATATCCTAGCACTTTGGGAGGCCCAGGCAGGCAGATCACCTGAGGTCAGGAGTTCGAGACCAGCCTGACCAACATGGAGAAACCCCATCTCTATTAAAAATACAAAATTAGCTGGGCGTGGTGGCGCATGCCTGTAATCCCTGCTACTTGGGAGGTTGAGGCAGGAGAATCGCTTGAACCCTGGAGGCGGAGGTTCCAGTGAGCTGAGATCGTGCCATTGCACTCCAGCCTGGGCAACCAAGAGCAAAACTCCGTCTCAAACAAACGAACCAACCAAACACCACATATGTGTTGGGCACTAATCTCACAAGCCTTGAAAATTGGCAGATTATCCAACTTTTACATGAAGAGGCTGAAACACAATTGATTTAACTTGCCCAAGGTCATACAATTTTTAAGTGGTGAAACCAGGATTCAAAAGGAGGCCATCTGCTGGGTGCAGTGGCTCATTCATGCCTGTAATCTCGACATTTTGGGAGGCCAAGGCAGGAGAGTCACTTGAACCCAAGAGTTTGAGAGCAGCCTGGGCAACATAGCTAAACTGTCTCAAAAAAACAAAAACAAACAAAAAAACTGGGCGTGGTGGCGCGCCCTGTGGTCCTAGCTCCTCGGAACGCTCAGGTGGGAAGATCGTTTGAGCCCGGGAAGTCGAGGCTGCAGTGAGCCGCGATAGCGCCACGGCACTACAGCCTCAGCAACGGAGTGAAACCCTGTCTCAAAAAAACAAAGCCAAAACAAACAAACAACAACAACAACAAACGCAGGCTATCTGAATACCGAGCCCATGTCCCTTTCCATGCCCACAATGTCGCCTTGCCTTTGTGCAGAATGTGGTTTAAACTGTTTACCTCGCAAGGTTACTGTGCAAGTGAAATAAAAGAAACACCGAGCTCCTGGGACACAGTGGACATTCAATACTCAGAAACTACTAAGGAACTCGCTCAAGGTCAAGCTAGGATTTAAATCCAGGATTTGAATCTTTTGTTTCAGGGAGCGCGTAGGAGGTTAAGAAGCTTTTCTTGGCTTCATTCCTTTTTTTCTTTTTTTTTTTTTTTTTTGAGACGGAGTCTCACTCTGTAGCCCAGGCTGGCGTACAGTGGTGTGATCTCGGCTTACTGCAACCTTCGCCTCCCGGGTTCAAGCGATTCTCCTGCCTCAGCCTCTTAAGGAGCTGGGATTACAGGCGCCCGCCACCACGCCCGGCTAATTTTTTTGTATTTTTAGTAGAGACGGGGTTTCACCATCTTAGCCAGGCTGGTGTCGAACTCCTGACCTCAGGTGATCCGCCCACCAATTCTTAACGCTGAGTCAGTAGGGACGTTCCTTCAGCCCCATGAAGTGGACCTCAGAGGTCAGGGAACATATAACAAGCACATTCAAAAAGGGAGCGCGCGGAAGCGGCTTTAGGAAGCACTAAGTCTTGCCTGCTTTTTTTTCCTCCCTGATTTTCTAAATCCAAACCGAGACTCTTCAACCCGCAACGCCGCCAATTTCCAGGGCGGAAATGACGTCTGTATTAACGCGCCGGAAGTGTATTTGCAGAGTGCGACAAAGCGGGGAACGCTGGTGGGCCTGTTGCGGAGTACGCTTTGGAGTGAGAAGCTTCGCGGCTGTAGCACGCAGCTGTTGCCATGACGGCCCAGGGGGGTCTGGTGGCTAACCGAGGCCGGCGCTTCAAGTGGGCCATTGAGCTAAGCGGGCCTGGAGGAGGCAGCCGGTGAGGCACCTGGGCAAGCTGTACATCCCTGTTCGTCCCAGAACTGCACCAGAGTAATGAGACCTGAGCCCTCAGGCATAACTTTGAAAAAGATGGGTGGCACACAGACATCACCTGGGGAGGTAGCGGCTTTCCTGCTGGGAAGGTTTCTGTGCTCAAAGAATGCTTACATCAGTCCTCCTGTTAAGTCAAGGGACTGAGGAACGAACACACGAGGGGTCTTGGTCTAATCTGAGTAGGTGCATCTGAAGATCTTTATTCCTATGATTGGTAGATCAGGAAATGTGGGATAAGAAGTGTCGGAGTTTGCAGCTTTAATTTCTTGGTTTGGTTTTTTAGGGGTCGAAGTGACCGGGGCAGTGGCCAGGGAGACTCTCTCTACCCAGTCGGTTACTTGGACAAGCAAGTGCCTGATACCAGCGTGCAAGAGACAGATCGGATCCTGGTGGAGAAGGTACAGAGGTATAGATGTTACCGTAGTCCTTGGGCCAGTCCTGACTTATTCACCCATCCTCTTCTCCCAGGTGGAATTAACGTAGATAGCTCTTATCCTGAATATTCGGAAACTAAACTGCTTGAGACTGGTATTTTGGTATTTTATATATCACCTACAAAAGTGCTTAACAGTTTGAAAAATAAAAGATGTTTGGAACATAAGGTGTAAGAAAGTAGGTTGAAAACTATCTTTTGGTGGCAACATCTTCCAGTTGAAGTGATCTTTTTCTATTCTAGTTCCCTTACACCACACATCCAACTGTCAGGATATTCTGTTGACTTTCCTTACTACTTTTTGCTGTGTTCACCTCTCATCCCGATCCAAGCCACCATCCTTCATCTAGATTTCTGCAGTTGCCTGGCTAATTTTTGTATTTTTAGTTACAGACAGGGTATCACTATGTTTGCCAGGCTGGTCTTGAACTCCTGACCTCAGGTGATCCATCCGCCTGGGCCTCCCAAAGTGCTGGGATTACAAGCATGAGCCACCATGTTCTGCCCGGGGCTATTTATGTTTCTTTCTAATTTCTGCTGTCATTTTGTTACATTTTTTCTAGGAACTTACCGATTTCCTAAAATTTCAAATGTATTGACATAAAGTTGTTCATAATAATGATCACTTCCATATATGCAAGATCTGTGATGTTCGTTTTTTCATTCCTGATGTTGAATATTTGTCTCCTCTCCTTTTCGGCTTACCAGTATTGATTTTTTAGAAGTTATTTTCATTTATTTTTACAGGTCACTGTACCCATCACCAGTATTGATTTTATTAATCTTTTCAAAAATTCTTGGGTTTTTTTCTAGTTTCTTGAAATGGATGCTTACTTTATTTTTAGACTGCCATTACTTTTTTTCTTCTCTTTTGAGACAGTCTTGCTGTTGTCGCCCAGGCTGGAATGCAATGGCATGACCTTGACTCACTGCAACTTCTGACTCCCGGGTTCAAGCAATTCTCCTACCTCAGCCTCCCGAGTAGCTGGGATTACAGGCACCTGCCACCACGCCTAGCTAAATTTTTTTGTATTTTTAGTAGAGATGGGGTTTCACCACGTTGGCCAGGTTGGTCTGAAACTCCTGACCTCAGGTAATCCACCCACCTCGGCCTCCCAAAGTGCTGGGATTACAGGCGTGAGGCACCATGCCCAGCCAGATTGCCATTACTTTTAATGGCAAAAACTGCAATTACTTTTGCAGCAACCTAATAGTATTTAAGGTTATAAATTTCTCAGAGCTGTAGCTGTGTCCCACAAGTTTTAAAATGTGGTACTTTTGCTATCTTACAATTCTGTTTTCCATTATAATTTCTTCTTGTATCATTGTTAATTCCCAAACATGAGATTTTCTAATTATAAAATTATTTCTAGTTTAATATCGTAGTCAAAGAATATGTTTTGTACAATTTGCATTCTTTGAGATTGACATTTTCTTCATAGCTCAGCGAGTGGTCAGTTTTTGTAAATATCTTATGCTTGAAAAGAGTGTGAACTCTGTAATTGTTGACTGCAGCATTACATGTCAGTTGGGTTTTGTTAATGTCATTCAAATCTTCTATGTCTTGATTTACCTGCTAATTCTATTATTTTTTTCTGGAACTAAATTAGTTCAATGGTTCCATTAGTTATTGACTGTGGTGTGCTAATCTCCCATTATGTGGATTTATCTATTTCTTCAGTTGTAGATAGGACATTGATAGATACAGAAGTACTAGGACAAAGGCAGGGAGATCTTTTTTCCAAAATCAGGAGAAAAAATGACATCTGGAAAACCTATAGGGAAAGGTACAACGGATGATGATGGTACTTTTATCTTTAGTAGAAGAGAGAGCCCTCCTGTGGCAACATGGAGAAGGGAAGAGGTCATAGAATTGAGGAGTCAGCTCAGTTAGAAGCAGAGAATTGGGAATTCTGTTCATGTGATTTAGCATCAGTGATATGGCAAATGTGGGACTAAGGGTGGTGATCAGAGGGTTAAAATTGTGTGTTTGTTTTAGCGCTGCTGGGACATCGCCTTGGGTCCCCTCAAACAGATTCCCATGAACCTCTTCATCATGTACATGGCAGGCAATACTATCTCCATCTTCCCTACTATGATGGTGTGTATGATGGCCTGGCGACCCATTCAGGCACTTATGGCCATTTCAGCCAGTAAGTATTCTTGAAACAATAACCCTTCCATAAGTTTGAAGAATTAAAGGCAGGCTGGGCGTGGTGGCTCACGCCTGTAGTCCCAGCACTTTGGGAGGCCAAGGTGGGTGGATCATCTGACGTCAGGAGTTCAAGACCAACCTGGCCAACATGATGAAACCTTGTCTGTACTACAACTGCAAAAATTAGCTGGGCGTGGTGGCACACGCCTGTAATCCCAGCTGCTCGGGAGGCTGATACAGGAGAATCACTTGAACCTGGGAGGCGGAGGGTGCAGTGAGCTGAGATCACACCACTGCACTCCAGCCTGGGCGACAGAACAAGACTCCATCTCAAAAGAAAGAATTAAAGGCAAATTCTTAGGGACAGTTTTTGGCTAACGAGTATGTAGGGGAGTGGGGTAATGGTGGTGGCATGGAGGGGAATGTAGTGCTTACCATGGTTTTCTCTTTGCCTTTAATGGTCCTATTTGCTGTCTTACTATGGGTCTGTCTATATGAATTTAATATATGGTTGGCTTGATTCATATTGGGGGAGTTTTTTGTTTGACAACTTCTGTTACCCCAACAGCTTTCAAGATGTTAGAAAGTTCAAGCCAGAAGTTTCTTCAGGGTTTGGTCTATCTCATTGGGAACCTGATGGGTTTGGCGTTGGCTGTTTACAAGTGCCAGTCCATGGGACTGTTACCTACACATGCATCGGATTGGTTGGCCTTCATTGAGCCCCCTGAGGTAAGGCAAAAGAAAAGCTGAATTTTGGGTAGTTGTAGTGGACAGTGAATAGCTGACCTACTTGATGGTAGGGAATTAGAATTGGTATTAGAGTTTATTTCTTTTTTTTTTTTGGCCGGGGGGGCGGGGCGGAGTCTTGCTCTGTCACCCAGGCTGGAGTGCAGTGGTATGATCTCAGCAACCTCCGCCTCCTGGGTTCAAGCAATTCTCCTGCCTCAGCCTTCCAAGTGGCTGGGATTATAGGCGCCCGCCACCACGCCCAGCTAATTTTTATGTATCTTTTAGTAGAGATGGGGTTTTACCATGTTGGCCAGGCTGGTTTTGAACTCCTGACCTCAACTGATCTGCCTGCCTTGGCCTCCCAAAGTGCTAGGATTACAGGCGTGAGCCACTGTGCCTGGCCTAGGGTTTCTTAAAAAATAAGAGCCATTAGGAGTTTTTAAGTTATTTTTATTTTTTTGAGAGGGAGTCTCACTCTGTTGCCCAGGCTGGAGTACAGTGGCGCCATCTTGGCTCACTGCAACCTCCGCCCCCTGGGTTCAAGCGATTCTCCTGCCTCAGCCTCCCTAGTAGCTGGAATTACAGGTGCCTGCCACTGTACCCGGCTAATTTTTGTATTTTTAGTAGAGATGGGGTTTCACCATGTTGGCCAGGCTGGTGGTGTGCTCCTGACCTCAGGTGATCCACCCACCTCGGCTTCCCAAAGTGCTGGGATTACAGGTGTGAGCCACCACGCCTGGCCAAGTTGTATTTTTGAAACAGGGTCCTGCTCTGTCGCCCAGGCTGGAGTGCAGTCATGTGATCATGGCTCACTGCAGCCTTAACCTCCGGGCTCAAGCACTCAGCTTCTCAAGTAGCTGGGACCACAGGTTGCAGCCCCGTGGCTCGCTAATTTTTGTATTTTTTGTAGAGACAGGGTTTCGCCATGTTGCCCAGGCTGGTCTTGAACTCCTGGGCTCAAGCGATCTGCCCGCCTTGGCCTTCCAAAGTGTTTAGCTAAGATTAGCTACTTCGGCTGGCCTGGAAGTTCTTTTTTAAGGATAGGCAAAATAGAGCTGTGGTTAAAGTATTAAGTAATTGATTCATTTTAACACTCATTTGCCTATTTATTCTTTCTTCTTTCAGAGAATGGAGTTCAGTGGTGGAGGACTGCTTTTGTGAACATGAGAAAGCAGCGCCTGGTCCCTATGTATTTGGGTCTTATTACATCGTTCTTTAAGCCCAGTGGCTCCTCAGCATACTCTTAATCACTTATGTTAAAAAGAACCAAAAGGCTCTTTTCTTCATGGTGGGGTGACAGGTCCTAGAAGGACAATGTGCATATTACTACAAACACAAAGAAACTATACCACAACCCATGACTGAAAATAATGTAGAAAACTTTATTTATGTTTCCAGTACAGAGCAAAACAACAAATAAAATCGTAACTATGTAAACGAGAATAATTGCTGCTAAATCAAAACTGTCGCAGCATCTCCTTTCAATAAATTAAATGGTTGAGAACAATGTGTAAAAAAAAGTTGCACAAGTTCCCTTAAATCTATTTTCCTTAATATTTCACTTCTATTTAAAACAAGCTGGGACATAAAAATTTTGTTGGAGACACTTGGGGAAGATGTGAGAAACTAATGCTGGATTCAGCTTATACATGATGAAAAGAAAAATAAACCAGACAAAAGGAGCACATAAATACGCATACAGTGTAACTGTTATTTTAATACCCACAATACGGGATTTTTGTTAGCATGTTTGGGGGAATGAGGATCAGTGGGATCCTTGGGGCCACAGGAATCTGAGGCAACGGAAGATATATAGAGATCTTCCCCCTGCGGAGAGGAACCTGGCACCTGTCAAGCAGATGCTGTCAGTTCAAATTTCAGCTTTTAAGATAGCTATTCAAGGCAGAAGGTCAGCAGGAGGATGTGTATTTCTAATCTGCCCTGGTAAAGTCATAGGTAAGACTCAAAAGCGGGATCTTACTCAAAAGGCAGGTATTTCCTGCCTTCTGTCTTGAAACAGCCCCTTCCCCTAAGGTGCATTCTCTCAAGTCTTCAGTATTGCTTTATTTGCAGTGATTTTTAAAAGAGATGAGAGACTTTGGAGACAACATAAGCAACACATATAGACATGAAATGCTCTAGACAGAGATGAATATAAATCTGGCCTGATAACCAGTTTTCCATGTAACAGTGATTTTGTGTTTCAGGGGCTGGAGTAGTGGTTATATTAATAGCCACTAATTCCCTTATCCCTTTAAAAGATTTTTACAGTTCTCCAGCCACAAACAGCACTTCTAAAACCAACTTTTATTTTCTGCCCATAATTTGTTCTACATGGAAAAAAAAAAATTACTTTGGCCAGGGGCGTGTGTAAATGTGGCAGAATTCCTAGGTAGGCTGACCTTTACAGTATGGGCCTTTAAGATACAGGATCCTGGTCAGGCGCGGTGGCTCACACCTGCAATCCCAGCACTTTGGGAGGCCAAGGCAGGCAGATCACCTGAGGTTGGGAGTTCGAGACCAGCCTGACCAACATGGAGAAACCCCATCTCTACTGAAAATACAAAATTAGCCAGGCGTGGTAGCACATGCCTGTAATCCCAACTACTCAGGAGGCTGAGGCAGGAGAATCGATTGAACCCAGGAGGCAGAGGTTATGGTGAGCTACGATCGTGCCATTGCACTCAGCCTGGGCAACAAGAGCAAAAGTCTGTCTCGGGAGGGGAGGGAGTAAAAAGGTACTGGATCCTGCAGGACATGACTCACTACTGTTAAACTCAACTAAGCAATGGAGTGTCGCAGTGGGAGTTGTAAAGAATGCTTCTACCATCTGTGGAAGGAACAGAAAAAACGACGTAAGATTCTATCTGCCTTGCCATCCTGAGTGGGCCTGGAGGTTGAAGAAAGCAGGAGCAAATCAAAATTACTCAATTTTTTTTTTTTTTTGAGACCAAGTCTTGCTCTGTTGCCCAGGCTGGAGTGTGGTGGCGCAATCTCAGCTCACTGCAAGCTCCGCCTCCCGGGTTCATGCCATTCTCCTGCCTCAGCCTCCCGAGTAGTTGGGACTACAGGTGCCCGCCACATGCCCGGCTAATTTTTTTGTATTTTTAGTAGAGACGGGGTTTCACCGTGTTAGCCAGGATGGTCTCGATCTCCTGACCTCGTGATCCAGCCGCCTCAGCCTCCCAAAGTTGCTGAGATTACAGGCGTGAGCCACCGCGCCCAGCCCAAAATTACTCAATTTCTTAAGCTATACTGAAGGGTTTTCTCTGTCCTTACAGGTCAAATGAATAATTTCTGACACCTAGATCAGCTTGCTCCATGTCCTATTGAGTAATCAAAGAACAGTGGCACTATTTGTGACTAATAAATTGAAATTCAAAAACAGCCATGAATACAGGCAAGAAAAGTTTCTCTAAATACCTATTCTGTAAAAGAAGTGAAGATTTCACATACTTGAAAGTACTGCTCAGCCAACCACATAAGTAGTTTCCCTATGCTTGTAAGCCAGATGTTGTTGGATCAGTAAATTAGTAAATAAAAAGCTAAGCTTACACAAGTATTTCCTTGGCACACTGAACTTTCTTTTTTCTTTTTCAGACATATCAATCACTCTGTTACCCAGGCTGGCGTGCAGTGGTGCAATCCTGGCTCACGGCAACCTCCGCCTCCTGGGTTCAAACGATTCTCCTGCCTTAGCCTTCCGTGTTGCTGGGATCACAGGCATGCGCCACCATGCCCGGCTGATTTTTGTATTTTTCGTAGAGACAGGTTTTCACCATATTGGCCAGGCTGGTCTCGAACTCCTGACCTCAAGTGATTCACCTGCCTCGGCCTCCCAAAGTGCTGGGATTACAGGTGTTTTGGCACCTGGCCTGAAGTTTCTGAAAACAAATAGAAGGCTTGGCTTGGTTAATCTTAGTTCAGAGCCAAGTTTATGTAGTCAGAATGAAAAATAAAATTGAAAGAAAAAGGAGAAAATGCTTATACTTGGCATTAAGTTGAATGCCTCAAGTCTTAACTACAGCTTTGTAGATGAGGCAAAATATTTCTTAGTGGTAAAATTTCTTCAACAGGTCAATGCCAATGTGTATGCCATTTTAGCACAGTAGGTAAGGAGAGTAGCCGCTCAGTAACATTGGCACCAAGGAAAGAGTATGGCTCTAGAACTTCCAATTCCACTGCTAGATATGCCCTTTAAAAGATGGCCCAGTGCTTTCAGGGAAGGATGTTTAGCCAGTTTTCCTAGTACTTGTTCCTTAAGATTTTTTGACCTGTGCTTAATAAGAGGGCATAAAAAAAGGCGCGGGGGTGGATGCAGTGGGGAGAAGAACCTATTGGTTAATGTGCACCATGACCTGCATTTCTTAGATAACAGCTTGTATGTTTTGTCCACGTTGCATAGAGAACCACAGACTCAGTAAATGTTAATAGCTTCCTTTTGGAGTTCTCTTAGTTTGGCCATTTGAAAAGAACCTGAAAGAAATAATTTTTACCTTACCAAAAACAATTTCCATGGTAACATTGCCTGTGTTACAATGACAGAATGGGTTTTGAGTTAAGAGAAATAAACAGTTGAAGTATACACTGACACAGTATGGATACTTAAATCTGGTATTTTGGGGGAATGTTTTTGAAGAAGTAGAGGCTACAGCCATGTTTCAAGTTGGTATCCTAATATAAAGTTAGAGCAGTGGGTATACTAAAGAAATATAGCTAAAAAGGGTTTGCATCTTGGCTTGCCGAGGATAATAGGTCCAAATATACTTGACCATAAATTCTTTAGTAAGGTGAAGCTGTCTCTAGTTGTTTTATCCCCACGGTGTCATCATTGGACCATGACTTCTGAGATTCATCTTTAATGCTGAATACTTACTTGACTTGCTTTTTTTCTTCAGTTGAATTTCTGGTATCCCTTTTACCAATTCATTTATTGGCTCAGCTTGTTAATTCTAATTTGCCTTTGATTGCTCAGACGTGGCTCGTAAGACTTGAACATTGTTCTGAGTTGAAGGAATATTTGCTTTTTCTGTAAGGACTGCAGATCAGATGGGAGCTCTTTTACACAGGTACTTGAGGCTCAGCTCATCAAGAGTTCAGTATGATGTGTACAGAACACAGGCTTCTAGTTGAGTAGGAGTGGTAGTAATGAGCTGGCACTTCCATGGAGGATGTAGGCCTTTTAAGAAAACAGGCCAAGCACAGTCATTCAGAGTAGGTTATGAATAAATGGTGATCACTTCACTGCCACCACCCCGGACAAGTAGGACTCGCTCTAGTCCCTCGGTAAGCACCTCTAGGAACTCCATGTCTTCATAACTTGTCAAGGAGACAGGCAAAAGAAGAGCACAAACTTACAATCTGGCATAATCATAATCTGAGGTTATCTGATCATAGAGCTACAAAATTAGCTGCTTAATTATTATATATTCAGAAAAGTCTGAACTTTGAATTTAACCCTGTGCAGAAGTAACCAGGGATCCAGTCCTTTTGCATATATAATACAAGACTCCCATTTGTGTTAGCTTTAAAAATGGGAAAACCTACAAGTGTTATTCTAAGATAAAAATGATGAAAGAAGAAAAAAAGCTACAATAGGGCAGCTAACAAGGTTCCTACAGAGAACCCAAGTAATTTCTAAGTGAAGCTGCTCAAGTCAGATTTTTCTGCCAGTTCAATTTGTCTTTTTCTTTTTAAACCTTTTCTTCTTTTTTTTTTTTGAGACAGAATTTCCTCTTGTTGCCCAGGCTGGAGTGCAATGGTGCGATCTTGGCTCACTGCAACCTTCGCCTCCTGATTCAAGTGATTCTCCTGCCTCAGCCTCCCAAGTGGCTGGGATTACAGGCACCCGCTACCACACCCAGCTAACTTTTGTATTTTTAGTAGAGACAGGGTTTCACCATGTTGGCCAGCTTGGTCTTGAACTCCTGACCTCAGGTGATCCACCCGCCTCAGCCTCCCAAAGTGCTGGGACTACAGGCATGAGCCACCACACCCGGCCTAAACCTCTTTTTCTTAATGGCACTGGTGGGAATAAACTAATTTATGTGTCAGTGCTGAAGGGTTTCCCTTATCCCCGGAGTCCTGCGATGAAGGTATGAGGAAGAATACCTATCTCTTTTCCCTCGGTTAAAGGAGGTTCTATCTCAGCTTCTCCCCTAACTCTATCCAAAAGAAAAAGGCTTTGCAAAGCAGGTAGAACCTAAAAAGGAGAAAGGATGTGGGTATGCTGTCTGTAGGATTGTCAGGAAGGGTTTTATACACTGAATATTCGATGTCATGTTGCAAATACACCACCTGAAACGTCTTTTAGAACTGAATTATATTTGCCCCAACTCCCCTAAAAGAGATTCGTCTTATAACTTTGTAAAAACCTTTGCCTAAGACTTTTAAGTCTTCCTTCCTTAAAGAGGGAAAGTGGGGCATAGACAATGACTTTTATTGTTACCTAGTTATCTCAGAAAGAGGATAAAGAGATCTTCCCTACTGGAAGCCCCACTCTTGGAAAGGATACAGTTTTCATCACCCTCAGGGTTTCGGGGTGGCCCTGGCATATTCAATAAAACCAGCTTTGCTTCATGGGACTTGTTAACTATAACCTCGTTGAGTTTCACTGCTGTATGCATCCGCCTCACATTGGACTGGTCCCTGAGTGGGAAGAAATAAAGGTTGTTAAGGTAAAAAGAAAACTAACTATATAGTCAACGTTAAAAACTTGAGATCCAGAGTTTTTTCACTCGACTATGGGTCATCTGATAAAATGATTTCTTTTTTCTTTTTTTGAGAGGGAGTTCAGCTCATGTCACCCAGGCTGGAGTGCAATGGCACAATCTTGGCTCACTGCAACCTCCGCCTCCCAGGTTCAAGCAATTTTCCTGCCTCAGCCTCCCGAGTAACTGGGATGACAAGCGCCCATCACTATGCCCGGCTAATTTTTTTTGTATTTTTAGTAGAGACAGGGTTTCACCATGCTGGACAGGCTGGTCTCCAACTCCTGACCTCAGATAATCCACCTGCCTCTGCCTCCCAAAGTGCTGGGATTACAGGCCTGAGCCACTGCGCCTGGCCTAAAATGATTTCTTTATAATACTAATGTCTGGGTTTTCTCATTCTCTGTTTGCTTATTTTATAGTAAGAACACAGTATGGAGGTGAACTATGGATAGAAGGGATGGTTAGCTTGTGTACCGTATTCATTGGGAGCCAGTATGAATAGGCAAACAATAATGAGGTGGTTAGATTCAGGGTTAAATGAACAGACTCCATCCTGTGTGTCCAGGCAGTCACATTTGTGCCACTGGTTAGGTTATTTTGTGATAAACTTGGGAGTGGGAAAACTTACGGACGCATGTTAAGCAGGTCCTGGAATCCTTCCATTGACTTGGCTTTTTGTCCCCGGGATGCCATGTACTTATCTTTTGTCCAAGTCATGTGCACCTTCTCCTGATAGGTTTCTGTCTCTTCATCCTCATCAGAGCCAATGCTGGTCAATCGTAGCATTGAGTTTCGGTCTTTCACCAACTGTGCCTGAGGAAGAAGGTCCACCACAAGTTATTCTACCAAATTTTCTCTCATGCTTCATCTTTGGTTATTTTGAAGTAATAATGGGTTATAGTGGAATAACTGACAGTGAGAAGGAAAGAATTTGTCATCTTGTGAAAACAATATAGTATCATCCCTTTTTTTTAATTTTTATTTTTTTGGGGGTTTGAGACGGAGTCTTGCTCTGTCACCCAGGCTGGAGTGCAGTGGCGCGATCTTTGCTCACTGCAACCTCCGCCTCCCGGGTTTAAGCAATTCTCTGCCTCAGCTTCCTGAATAGCTGGGATTACAGGGACGTGCCACCATGCCTGGCTAATTTTTGTACTTTAGTAGAGACGGGGTTTCACCATCTTGGCCAGGCTGGTTGTGAACTCCTGACCTCTTGATCTACCCGCCTCAGCCTCCCAAAGTGCTGGGATTACAGGCGTGAGTCACCGTGCCCAGCCCAGTATCATCCCTTTCAGTGACAGACTTCAGAGAGCCCGGATTGGATTGATGCAGTAAGGTCTCACCTCTCTGTCCCGCTCTGTTTTGGAGAGCCGCATGTGCCGGAGCATCTGGGACCTCTGCTCCATCATTAAAGTGCGCTCATAAGTGTATGCTGATATATCACTGTCATGCTGCCACAGACATCACACAAAGGGGGCCAAAAGCACAAAGGAGAAAGAAGGATGAACCATACATTTTTATTTCCAGTCACTAAATTAAACCAGGGAAAGCATGACAATATTAACCTATGTTTCACCCCTATTTTGTTTAGTCATTGAGCTACATAAATGTTTTTGTGATTGTAGATAAAATCCAGAGGCCCTGAGAGTCTTTTCCATAATCTAACCAAGACATGTGTTGCCTTGAAACACAAAATACAAACTCTAGTCTCTTTTTAATACTGTTAGGTTTTTTTTTTAAGCCATGTGTGATTTTAAGCTGACTTTATGAATTAAAATTTCATAAAACTATATTAAGCAGATGAGAATCTGGCAGAAATATAAGGGCTGTGTGATAAACAAGAAAGCAAAACCAAAAAGTAACATCAAACATGCATCACATATACATCCTACTTAGGGCAACAAATTAGGGTTTTTTTTGTTTTTGTTTTTGGCACTAGGGGATTAATCCACATTTAGAGCTGAAAAATTTCCCAAACCAGAAAAGATTCAAGGACGACAGGGAGAGGAATGGGAGAATGAACCTCTTGTATCTCAAACTCAGCTTTCTCACCATCTCCACCACTTCTACCTCCGCCTCAATGCGCAAGTGATACAGGAAGGTGGCTAGGTCCTTCTTCATTTGGATACTGTTGTCTTCTAATTGGGCTACTGTGAAGATCCGTATGCTGCACTTTCGCCACACCTGAGACAGTGACATACACATGTGGAAAATTAGAAAGACATAAGACATTGTGGTCTAGAAGAATCTTGCTATATGTAGTATGAGGCTATTTGTTCCTAGCTTCCTACTTGCCATGTTATTGTATTAGGGCAAAAGATTGACTAAACACCACATTTAATACAGTTTTAAGGAGTCCTTAATTTCATAACAAGAAAACACTGGCAAAAGAAAAGATGGCTCACGATATGTTAAGAGGGTGCTTTATTCAGATAGTACATTAATGACAACATGCAGACTATATATTTACTATTTTAAATTTCATTTAATTAGTTTTACCACGGAATGAGCGCATATATGTGTGCAATACACACACATACATATACCTTAAGTTTCCAGTATTTTTTTAAAAAAGATGTGTTCACCTGTTGTTGTTTTCCCCAAGGGCTCATATGGAACTTTATTAATTGGCTGAATTTCACTTGGAGATAAGTAGGTATCAAATACAAAGACAATTATTTCTCTTAAGGTTGAAAGTGGGATCATAGGAAAGCCTAGAATAACTTCCAACTCTTCTGATTCTAAACCCCAACACTATACAATCAGAGAAAGAATTTGTCTGGCGAACCAGGACACAAGGGAGAAAGACTTGCAAAGAAAAGTTGTCTCAAATACCTTGTGCTGTTTCAGCAGGAATGGCAGTAGCATGAGCATCCCCCCATCATGCACAATCCACCACACATCAATGTTGCCCTCAGAAAATTGCTCCACATTGCTGGGAAAGAAGGAGATGTTTTTAGCCACCAGCAGTGCGAGATGGGCAGCAGTTGTCACTCGAACTGTGCCTAGGGAGAAAAAAGAATAAGCAGAGAAGAATCCTTAGGCTTGCCTTGCTTCCTAGCATGTCAGGAAAGCAAGGAAATGCTCTCTTCACACTTCTTTGAGCAAGGGGTCCTATTTACTTAGATTCTATCTCATTACATAAGAAAAATCATTGTGAAAAATCTGAATAGCTAACAGAATTAGACTGAGAACCACAGTTTATGTTACAGGGTATATTCTGATTACTACATTTCTAAGGGGGGATATATGAATTTGGGAGATGATGATGCTGAAGAACAATTCTTCCAATTTCTGTGAGAACATCAATATGGAAAATCACAAATGAAAACATGGCAATTTTGGAGATAATTCCTAGCACAAGACTTGACGGAAATAAATAATTCATGAACATGATGTGAAGCTGAAGGGGACAGGTAGAATCTGGTATTACTACCAGACTACTAGTAGTTTTTCAGGTTGCCTTATAAGACTATGCTTCAGCAATGGCATAATCTCTATTTTAGGAGGCTGGGGGTGACAGAGATTTAACTATATCCCCTCGACTCAGGCCCTTAGGTTTGTATGAGAAATGGTTAGTACCAATAAAAGTCTTCCAAGCGCGGGCATCTTCACTTTGACGCCAGCCATTAGGCCAGCCCATCACCACTGTGTTGTGCTTCATGCCCCCAAGGCCACATGACTGGATAAGGTGGGAAATGCCCTCTCTCAGCTTGGCGGCCACCACCAGCTGGCAGAATCCTTTTACCTTCTCTGCCTCCATTAGGTGCTTTATGGTCTGAAAGAGACACAGGACCGCAACACTTTAGTGGTTCACTCTGGACCTTTTAACCCATTATTCCTTCTCTGTATTATATCCCCTACCTTTTTCCAAAGTCTTCATAAATCTGTATCGTCTACAGAAAAGTCCAAAAAGTTAAAATTATCCCAAAGGAATTTCATGATCTTTTATCTTTTTCACTTTCTAAGTGCTTACTACGTATTTTTGCCTCTGTAGCTGGTTGTCTACATGGAGTTTCTCTGCTTTTTCCTCTGTTCTGCTTTTGTTCCTTTGCACCATACCAAAAAACTGGGAACAGGGATCTCTACAAAGTGAATATTCAACATTCTTTCTCAGTTGACCAGGGTGATTCACTAGTGTGAACAAGATCTCCTTCCTGCCTCAGCCCCAGTCATGCCCTGACTCATCTTACCAGAAACTCAATATGATTCAGTTTCACTTTAGAATTTTCTCAGGTATGTTTTCTTTTTTGCTTCTCCCATTCCCATATGCTTTTTGACATTTTAATGGTGATTATTCATGACACTTGTATTTGCATTACTCTTCCTTTAGTCAAACCAATTTGGAGATATCATCGCATTTACTCTTACTCCACCCTCTCGGTGGGAAAAGGAAGGGAATAATGGTACAGAAAATGGAATGACTTTTGCAAAGGCACAGATTAAATCAGTGATGTGGCTGACAACTAGGATCTCATGATTTTCAATCCTGGGTACCTTTTATTAATTTTTACCATCATTCTGGAGTAATGTTTCTTCAGCATTTCTAGTGTTTAGGATTTCAAAGTATTCCAAAATGAAATCCAGTAAGACTTTTGAAATGCCATTGAACACACTGAACACAATGGCATTTCAAAAACAACAGGATTAGTTCTATCATATATAATAAATATTAGAGTGAAAACAACTTCCTTGTTAAAGTAGAACTTTAATGTTCAGTACAGCTAACCAGAAGTGGCAAAGGAATCTTGCTCATGATACCACATAGATTAAAGAGGAAGAAAATTTGGTCATTACTCGTTGTCACAAGATTGAGAGGAACCCTCTCCATAGTTCAAGGGATCAATTTACTTACATGACTTTTCTCAGTGCTTAATGTTTAGAGTATATTTGAAAATAATGTTTAGATTTAATCATCTTATAATTTAGTAATGTTTTAAATGGGAAGAAAGAATAAATAACTATTTTCTGGCTCATCTTATTATTTGGGAGAAAGTGTCTGTTCAAAGGTCAGCACTAAGTGAGAAACCTCCTAGATCACTCAGGAACAAGATTCAAGTAGAAGTTTGAGGTCTTACTACTTAACATCACAAAGCTGTAAGCTGAGTTCCAATACATCAAAAGTCTGACTCTTACCTGCTCAGCAGCTAAAGCTTCACCGTAGTTCTCTAGAAAGTTCCCCACGATGACAGAGCCCACAATAGTGAGACCTTTTCCTGCTTTGAGCTGTGAGGCAAAGGTGAGGAGGCGAGGATGCTTGACATGTAAGTCTTCATCTAGTTTCAGTAATACAAGCAACTGAGGCCTGTGAAGAGGTTGGTGGGGGTTGGAGGGGAGGAGAAAACATTTTGGGTTTGGGGAACAGAATGACAGACTCCACCCTGTAATTCAGGAGATCTGTATGAAACAGGTAATTTGACAGAAGGAAGAAATCACAGGAAATGACAGGATGAGGATATTAGTTTGAATGCTCCCAGTACTATCTCAAGTTGATCAGTCTTCAAGGAAGAATAATAAATTGTGAAGAATAATAAATTGTAGAAATCTTGCTCATAAGTGACATGAAGAAAAGGGAATAAAAAAATTAAGGATTTAGAATAGTTCAAAAGAGGTCCATTATACCATTTCCTTGAGCCACATGGTTTCCTTATCCTGTAATCAACAAAGCACATATTTTTGTGTGTTAACTATGTGCCAAATACCGCTAGTGTTGATTTCTTTACCTCCAGTTTTTAGTGTGTGGAGGTCCTTCCTCCAACCGAAGCAAAGCAAACCGGGCTGCACTGAGGGACAGCCCACGGATACCATCACCCCATTCTTTCTCCGCTCTGTGAGAAAAAGAAAAGAGCAGAGACAAATTTAAACTATAATAAGTATACTTTTAAAAACTAAAGTTTTTTTCTGAATCTAAAAATCACACATGTGTAAGGTAGAAGATTAAAGCTCAGATTAATGATTTACATAATGTTCTTTACTAATATAATGAACCCGATGTAGGCAGATCAACAGCACCAACAGACTGCACTGCACAAACAGTTCAGAATAAAGCCTGAAGGGGTCACTCATTCAGTCCTTCTACCTAATTGTTCAAAACAATAATGTAAAAGAGCAATTTAGATTAGAAAATTATAACAGACCTGGAGTTTAAGTTACTTTGAAAATAATGCAGAGAAAGTAAAGTTCAGTGTGATCTTCTGAATAAGAATGTTACTTCGTCCTCATTTTTGAAAGTTGTAAGTCTTAGTAGTTACAAAGTTGTTCAGAACTAATTTCTTTTTCATTTCAGAGACAATCCCTTGACTGAAGAGATAAGCAAAAATATTTATATTTGTGTTATACTTTGTTTAGTACTAATCATTATTATTTGGATATGTCCTTTGTTATTTTCCACTGATCCATTCATACTTTCTCAATGGATTTCCCTTGTGATGAAAAGCTTGCATCAGTAAGACGGTTAGAGAATTAGGGGTACAAAAGATAGTTATGAAAATGAAGTTACCTGGGTCCTTAATGTATTTTCACTGAACTGGCTCTAACCAAACTAGCTAGTCTTGCTACTTTTAGCAGTGATCAAGATTAAATCCACACTCACCCTTGGTACTCAATGTACTTGTAGATCATACCAGCTATTACCATGGCTACAATGGCATAATACCAGGAAGAAATGAACATCAGAGCCAGACAGATACTCATTCCCATGAAAGAAAGGGCCCTAGAAAATTAAAAACAAATACAAAAAAGTATTTTTAAAAGTAGCTGAAAAAGAAGCTTATGTTAGAGGTGCTCCTCAAACTATCTGCAGTGAGGGATTATTTTTTAAAAACTTTGAAACTATTATAACTTTTATAAAATGCAATGAAAATGAATTATTCGAAAAATCATCACATGCCTGGATGCTGTAGCAATGTCACACTGCCACAAAAGTTTCCAAATGCTTATTCTCAATTCTACAGTTGTCTTATCATGAAACAGTCAGTAGATGTGCACTAAATCCCAAACTGTCCTTTGCAACAGACCAACTGCTGTTATGTTTCCAACTGCTGGAAAACCATGTAAGTAACAGAACACTATCAGTCACCTGCAGTTATGAGGACAATTAATACTTACTTGGCAAAGCCAGGATGGGACACGCAGCCAGAAATGTTAATAACTCTAGGATCTTTTGAAAAGTTTCATATAAATATTTCTAAAAAGTTTATAAACATTTATTAGCATAACTGCAGAACTCACTGAGAAAAATTATTTTTGGGCTAGGCGTGGTGCCTCACGGCTGTAATCCCAGCACTTTGGGAGGCCGAGGCAGGCGGATCATGAGGTCAGGAGATCGAGACCATCCTGGCTAACATGGTGAAACTCTGTCTCTACTAAAAATACAGAAACTTAGCCGGGCATGGTGGAGGGCGCCTGTAGTCCCAGCTACTCGGAAGGCTGAGGCAAGAGAATGGCGTGAGCCCAGGAGGCGGAGCTTGAAGTGAGCCGAGATCGCACCACTGCACTCCAGCCTGGGCAACAGAGCGAAACTCTGTCTCAAAAAAAAAAAAAAAAGAAAAGAAAAATTATTTTTGGACTGTACATAAGAGAAACCTGGCAGACGGTAATGAATTAATTGCTTGTTTTGACCAAATTAGGTAGACAACCATATTTACTTAAGTTTTTCTGTGTACAATGGCATAATACCAGGAAGAAATGAACATCAGAGCCAGACAGATACTCATTCCCATGAAAGAAAGGGCCCTAGAAATTAAAAACAAATACAAAAAAGTATTTTTAAAAGTAGCTGAAAAAGAAGCTTATGTTAGAGGTGCTCCTCAAACTATCTGTAGTGAGGGATTATTTTTTAAAAACTTTGAAACTATTATAACTTTTATAAAATGCAATGAAAATGAATTATTCGAAAAATCATCACATGCCTGGATGCTGTAGCAATGTCACACTGCCACAAAAGTTTCCAAATGCTTATTCTCAATTCTACAGTTGTCTTATCATGAAACAGTCAGTAGATGTGCACTAAATCCCAAACTGTCCTTTGCAACAGACCAACTGCTAAACAATAATGTAAAAGAGCAATTTAGATTAGAAAA